TGTTTGTCAATATGACTGTTCCATAAATTTCATTGGTAACACAGCTTTAATTTCCAACAATATCCTAAGGATATTACCTAGGGTGAGTGGTTTTTTGTTGTTGTTGCTTCCTCTTTTTCGATTTTTTATTTTATTTTTAATATTGCTTGCATAGTTGAGAGGAATGGACGCCAGTATGTGTTAGGGTGGGGAGGATGAGGTACGGAGGAAGGTGGGTGGGACAAATGTTTCAGTTTTTTTTCTCCTTTGTCCACTGGGGTGGGCGGGGCAGGGAAGATGGTCACTTCTTGCTGTCAAACTACAGGGAACAGTCATTTGATGGTATGTTAGAGACTCCAATATGAGGAAGTGTATTTTGAGGATGTTACTGGAGTGATTTTGATAGTTTCATTGCACCAGGGTTGAGAAAACCTTTCCAAGGTCTGTTGGCTGGCCAGTTCCACCTTAGTGCATCCACAGACCCAGGAACACAATACAAAGGTTGGCGAGAAGAGTGGTCCAACCTGTTCTGCTCTCCATCTTCTGATGAGCCAGTTGACACCCTTTGCTAGTCTAGATGAGTTAGCTGTCATGTCCCCGTGTGCATCTGGACATGCTGTCCCCTGCACAGACATCAGCAACTGAGGAGGACCAGTTCTGATATATGCACTGCAAGGTCAGATCACATACATTGTGAGTTTCCCGGTGGCCAGGGTATGACTCCAGCAGACCAGTTGGGGAGTCCCCCAGGAGAACTTGCCCACACCTACATTTTAAAAAAAGATTTATTGGAAAGAGATATACAGAGAGGAGGAGATACAGAGAGGAACATCTTCTGTCTGATGACTCACTCCCCAAGTCCACAATGGCTGAAGCTGAGCCAATCCGAAGCCAGGAGCCAGGAGCCTCTTCTGGGTCTCCAAAGCAGGTGCAAGGTCCCAAGGCTTTGGGCTGTCCCCGACTGCCTTCCCAGGCCACAGGCAGGGAGCTGGATGGGCAGTCGGGGCTGCCGGGATTAGTACAGGCACCCATATGGGATCCTGGTGCGTTCAAGGCAAGGACTTTAGCCACTATGCTATTGTGCCGGGCTGCACACCCACATTTTATACTAATGTTTACATCAGTTTACACTGGGCTCTGGCTCCAGACTCCAGCTTCCTGCTCATGTAGGCCCCAGGGAAGCAGTGGTGATGGCTCAAGTAACTGAATCTTCTTCAATGAATCCCTGACTTCCTGCCTCAGCCTGTCCCAGTCCTAGCACTTGTAGACATCTGGAGAACTGAGTCAGCAAGCAGGAGGCCTCTGTCTCTCTCTCAAACAGAGAAACGAAAACATGTTTAAAAGATAGTGAAATGTATGAAACAACTTAAAAGAATAATTATACCAGGCATGCTGCTTCACGACTTATTAAAAAAAAAAAATTGCCAATCTGACCAGTGAAGAAGGAAGCTTGCTTTCCTTGCTTGAGTTTTTATAAGCCTTAGGGGTCTATTCTCTGCCGAGAAAGCTAAGGGGCCCTTGAAGGGGGCAAATCATATTGTGATTTCTTTGCTTATAACCTCCACAAATGTCTCCTTTCAGCATATAAACCAAAAATAAAATCTGCATAATTACTTCGAAGTTGGTAATAATTATAGTAATCTCTTTATCCCTATTTCCTTTCTTAAAAATCCTGCTCTCCCCTCCATTCATCCACATCAGGTTTCCGGGCCCTTCTTGGAACACACCAAGGACACACCTGTCTTGGGCTCTTGCAGTTTCTATTCTCTCTGCCAGAAATACCTTTCCTACAGACTCTGGATGGCCAGCTCCCTCACTCTCACCTTATGTTCATCCAAAGGCTATCTTCTCAGAGTTTAAAGTACCAGAGTGTGTACAATGGTTTTGTTTTTCTTCTACAACCTACAGGAGAGCACTTGCTTCTAACATGTTAAAGAATCTCTGCCTTCATCTAATGCATCTAATGCCATCAGAAAGAGGACTTTGTTTCTGCAGCGTTGTATCTTCTGTGTTAGGGTCAGTGTCTCAGCAAACACGCCCACCGTTTTAATATGTAAATGACTACGTCACTTCTAGTTCTTTCATGAGTTGCTTGTCGTGTTTTTTGCTTATTCTTCTGTTAGGTGTTCAGTCTTTTATTGATTTGTGTGAGCTCTTTCATCAACCTTGTGTCATTTATGTGGCATGTATTTGTCCCAGGGTTTCTTTTTGTTTTTCTGTCTGCTAACACTGTATTTTGTATGTGTGTGTTTCTGCATTTCTCTTTGTGGATGTATGATAACACACTTTTGCAAAGTCAAATCTAGAAATCTTTCGTTCTGATGTTGTAATGCCTGTATTAGGACAAGCTGACAAAAGGAAATTTGTATTTCTAAATATATTGTGTTAAAAGATACGTTGTGCCTAAATTTGTTTTCACATTTTGCATTTCTACTATTTGTGGACTTGGCTACAAAGACTAAAAAAACCAAAATATGATGTAAACATTTTTGATTGGTAAGCACAATGATAGAACAGTTTTTCTCATGATTTATGTGGTGAGCAAGAATTAAAACTGCAAATAACTCTGCCCCTTTTATGTTAATTTAAGCTAAATGATTTGATATGGAGGATGATTAAATAATAGGACATTTGTATGTGTTTATACCATTTGCATTTGTTTATGTTTAAATATACTATCTGTTTACCATAGAAGTAAAAGACCATGAAGCCATACATCTAAATCACTAGAATTTTGTTATCAGTGGAATATTTATGTAGTCCATTTAAATATTCAGTTCCGTGTTGGTTAGGTCCTTTAAATAATGAAATGTTTGCATGCTTTCAAAAATTTATTCCAGCATCCTTCCTGAATTTTAGCGCTAAAAAGTTTAGTTTCTTAATATGACATTTTGAATTTTTACAAGAACTAATTTAACTAGTTGAATTTTCAGTTCATGTTATTTCCTTTAAAAATTAAACTTGACCTAGCGGCTAGCTTGCCGGTGCGGAGGCCCACACTCTGGGGTAGTGCCTGGGCTTGGGTTACAGGTGGGTTCTGGGTTTCAGCTTCCTCTGAGCGCACACTCGGCCAGGCGGCAGGTGACTGCCCAAGCAGCTGGGTCCTGCACACTCACCCAGGAGACTCAGTTCCGCGGCGCTCTTGGCTTTGGGAAATAAATCGGTGGATGGAGGATCTCTGCTTGTTTATCTGCTTCTCATGAACAAAACCAAAACCCAAAACATTTTCAGAAAAATTAAAAACTGATTATTATGCTGTTTTCAAGATGCAAAATGCCAACTCTTCCTTGATTTTACATTTTTTACTTTTTGTTGCTTCAGAGCAGTGCTTTTTCTTTACAATCCAGTCATGCTTTTTTTTTGTCATAACTGATTCTGAAAGTGTGCTGATGGATATTAAAGTTCATTTAGTCCTTTGGAATTTAAAAATAATACTATGAAAGTCATTGCTTATGGTGTACTGGATAAAGTATTGTAATGTACTCATCTCTTTTACTATCTTTTTAAAAAAGATTTATTTTATTGGAAAGGTAGATTTACAGAGAGAAGATAAAAGATCTGTCCACTAGCTTACTCCAAGTAGCCGCCATGGCTGGGACTGAACTAATCTGAAGCCAAGCACCAGAGCTTCTTCCAGGTCTCCTAAGCAGGTGCAGGGTCCCAAGGCTTTGGGCCACAAGCAGGGAACTGGATGGGAAGTGGAGTGGCCAGGATATGAACCAGTTTCCATACAGGATCCTGGGACTGCAAAGCGAGGATTCAATAACTAGGCTATCGCAATGGACTCCCCCTTTTGCTATCTCCTCTAAAGTATTCAGAAACTTTAATTTGTGCTGAATGAAATTATTCTCCGTTTCTATCTAAAGTTATCTAAATCCTTCCAAGTACACTTTAGTCCTAAATTAATGAGGACTGTGTTACTGCAGGTTAGCATTTGGACCACGACTGGGGAGAGCCGACTTGCAGGTGTCTGCCTGCCTGGGGTCCGGGTGGTATACAGGCCCTGCACCTGTTTGCTCCCATCTTGGGTCCAGCTTGCCCTCCTATTCTGCAGAGCAGCACGTCTGCCCAGGGGCTTAGCAGAGACCTCATCAGGGCGTGATGAACAGATAGGGAACACAGAGCTGACTGGAGGCGCTCAGGAACGGCCCCTCCCTTGGCGCTCCAAGGATGTGGTGCTGGGTGTAAGACCTGCACGGACCACCTTGGAGAGCCGTTTGGAGGAATACGGGAGATCATGTAGGAAGGCGCAGTCAACAAATGGGACCATTTTGTCCTTTTTAGGCACTTTCTTCCCATCCTAATATACTACAAACGCCCTGATGCTTCGGTCATCAGTATGATGCCAGCAAACTAGTAACCCCTAAGTGCACAAGGCTGGTTGGTATTCTCTGTTGGCCTTTAGAAAAAAAAGTGTGTGGTGGGGTTACTTGGATCTTGGCTAGAGAGAAGGGGAAATGGTAAGATAAGACAACTCGTTTGTAAACCCAGGTCATCTGAACCCCCACCCACCCATGTCTGCTAACTTCTAACTTCCCGGAAGGGGCGAGCTGCCAGGGTTGAGGGATGGGCGCAGATTCGGGGGGGGGGAGGGTGGTGTTTCCTTTAGGCTAGACAATACTTGCACCTCCAAAGCAGGACCCCGCGACGGGGCGAGCTCTGCTCGCACCCCCTCCCAAACTTCAGCCCGCGGAGCACGGGCTGGGCGCTGGAATCGGCCGTTTCCGGGAGCTTGGGGAGGAGACTCGAGCAGCAGCCTGCCCGGGGGCTTTCCGGGTTCCACCGGGGATGGGTGGGGGGTGCCTGGCGGCCGGCAGCTGCGCGCCCAGCCCCGGCCGACCGAGTCCCTCCCACCTGTGGCGACGCGGGGCGGGGGCTCGGCCGGGACCGCCCTGCCAGGGGCGGGGTCCCAGGAGGCGGGGACGCCGGCGTCCTCCGGGCCGGGCCGCGGCTGGAGGCGAGCGCACAGGCGGGCCAGGCGGCGGGAGGGCCCGGGGACGGCCGGGTGCTGGAGCGGCGGGCGCAGCTGGCAGCAAGGACGGCCCGCCGGCGGCTCGGGGCCGCGCGCCGGGAACCTCGCGGGGCGGGCGGGCGAGGCACCCCCTGCCCGGCCGCCTGCGCCCCGGGGAGGCCGCGCGCGCGCGACGGGACCAGCAGCATGAGCAGCGGCTACAGCAGCCTGGAGGAGGACGCCGAGGACTTCTTCTTCACCGCCAGGACCTCCTTCTTCCGGAGAGCGCCCCAGGGCAAGCCCCGCGCAGGCCAGCAAGTGAGTGGCGTGCGCGCCCGGGTGCTGCCCACGGCGCCCCCCGGCCCCCTAACTCCACGTGTCTCCGCGGGGCGCGTCGGGGGGGGGGATGCTTGTCGGGGAAGCAAGAGGGGGCCAAAGAGTGGCTTCTGCTTCTGCGGGGAGGGTTCGGGAACGAACTGGGAGGCTGTGCTGCCGGTGGGTTTGGGACGCTCGAGACGAAGGGAGGAGTAGGAAGCGAGGCGAGGCCGAGGGCCCGCTGCCGCCTTCCGCGCCAGATGGCCGGCCACTGTGGCTCCGCGAGCCGGGAGGTGTCCCCCGGCCAACTCCCTCCCCTCGTTTCCCCTTCGCGTCGCTGCCGGGTCAGCGGTGGAGTCGGCGCGCTGACCCTTGCCCCGGTGGCTCGTGGGGCAGCCTGGGGCGGGGGGCCATGTAGTGGTCAGGGATGGCCTCGGTGACCTGGCCTCCTGCTCCTCCCATGGTGGACTGGTGGGGGGAGGGGGCCGGGGCAGCTGGGGGCGCGCAGGCTCCTTGTCGGATGCGGGGCTGGAAGGGTGCTCTTTCCTGTAGAGTCAAGTCTTATAGATGTCCCAACTGTTTTGCAAGCCAACTCTGGTGCTAGGTAAACACTCGCGGGCGAGAGCTAAGCTTTAGGCCGGTTTCTTCCATTTTTGGAGGAAGCGCGCCGTGGGAAGCGTGATTTGGGAAGCGATGGGACGAGAACTTGGTGGCCAGTTTCGCCGGCCGCGACGCTGTTTGCTCGGCGCTTAGGACCCTCGGCTGCTCCACAACCGTTAGCTGCTAAAAAATGCGCCCCACGCATTTCTGTTGGACGTGGTCCTGGAGACCAGAAACAGGAAAAACTGCCTCAGGGGGGCCGAGAATGATTTTTTTTTTTTGATGGAGTGGGGGCGGTTAGTCCTTGCCAGATTTTTAAAGTCGGGTTAACGAGTTTGTGCTGTGCAATTTTCGAAGACTCGGAAATTGTAGTCTTGTGGCCTCTTCCTAAATCCGGAGAGAGAGGAGGGGGCGCGGGGCGGGGGGCGGCGGGGAGAAGGCCAGCTTGGTGTCAAGTGCCCTCATTCAGCCGGGACACTTAATCTGGAATCGGAGGCCGCGGCGTCCTTGTCGCCTGTCCCGTGCCTATTGTTCCTAAGCTGAAAGCCGCACTCGTCGCTGGTCACTTGGTGATCTCTTACTTTCAGCCGAGCGTGCGCTGCACACTTGGGTTTGGAAGTGAGAAATAGCCGCGTCTCCACGCCCTGTGCGCCGGGGCGTTGCGTTTCTCTTTTGTTGTTGTTCTTGTTTAAGCCTTCTTCTTTCCCTCCTCCACTTGACATTTTCCCTTTCCACGGAGTCTCTTACCGTTTGACACGTGGAAAGCAGCTGGTTTGAGACAGAACACGCTGCTGGATCTGGGGTTCTCCAGGTGGGAGATTCCCTCTGCCGGAGGCCATAGCATGTTTCGGTCTGATTTTTTTTTTTTTTTTTTTTTTTTTTTTGTGCTTCAAGAAAGCAAGAGTAGCGTTTCCCTGGGTGTCCTTGCAGAACGTTAAGTTTAGCATATGAAACTGCTGGGAGGCTGCCTGCCTTGTTAGCATTTACAATGTGGCGTGTATTTTCAAAGATGGTCAAGACAGCCGGACCCGGATCTTGCTTGAAGAGCCTGAAGTACCTACATCTGTCCTCTTTGAACATGACCCGTGCCTTGCAAGGTGCTTAGGTGTGTGTGTCACAGGCCAGGTGGGGAAAATTTCCGTGGTTTATTTATAGAAGAGTCTTTTAAATTCCTGGTGATATTTGTCAGATCAGGAAATAAAACTTATAAAGCAAAGCACTTTTTCTTATTTTTATTGTTTTTCTCCTTAAAAGAAAAAATCACAGACCATTTACACAAATCCTTGCATAGGGGCCATGCTTCTTGCTTTATCGTGTCAGTTTTCATTTTAGCAGGCTGAATTTTTTTTTAATAAGATCTGACATTCTAGAAAAAAAAAGTGGAGATGTTATTTAAAAATCTGTTAAGGATCTAGGAGTGATTTTGTCTTTTTTTTTTTAGGGTGGGGGATGCTGTACCACCTGGTGGGAAAACTTTAGGAAAATGTGGTTTGTTAGAACTCTTGAAAATACCCAGGGAAAGCAAGATGTTTGCGGTAAATGCAGGATGGGGGATAAAGAGGAGCTGGGCACGAGCAGTTTCTTTCTTCTCTTGCCAGGCAAGGCGATGTAGCCTGTCTGCTCTCCATCCTCAGTAATAGCAAAAAGGAAACATCATCTTTTTTTTTTTTCCACCTTGTTCTTTTTAAGAAACCAAAAGGAGAAAGGAGGAAAAGGGGAATGAACACATGGCCTTGTTTGAAAGTCAGGTTTCCTGCCCTGTCCCAGGTTCTGGGTCGGTGCTTGACTCTCAGCAGGCCGCTGGTTTGAGGGTAACTGAGAGACTTTTCAAATGCGTGTCCTCCTGTGATTCTCCCAAACCCTCCAAAGCCTTGACCTAGGGAAAGGTGTGGCTTTGTTCAGGGATTGCTTGCAAGAGGGACCACATGGAGAGAGCTGGAAGCCTGGCTGTCAGGTTTTTCTGATTCAAATTCCAGTATCTTTTTTTAAGACTTCCCAGCTGTGGAAAATAAAGACTCCATTTTCCTTTTGCAAGTATGCATGTTTATCCTTATAGGAATTGTGTTTTGCCCACTTGCCCTGCCTAAGTTGTCATCAAATTGTTCATAGTTCATGTTTGTGGGTCTGCTTTGTTTCACATTATCTGTTTGTTTAAACAGAGCCGGAAGTATAGGTAGTTAATGATTTGTAATTTGCCTTTCGTGATTTCCCAACAAAATTAAACTGCTTGTAGACACTGGATCCATCCTGAGTTCCAAAGTGTAGAAATGGCCTGAAGTTACTCAAACAGTTAGGGCGTGTCTTACGGCTGAAGAGATTATCTTTCTTCCTGAGTCTTTGATAGTAGCAATAAGAAAATGGAAGTCTGACATTGTGGGGCTGGGAGATGAGCCGCTGGTGGCGCCGGTGGCATCCCAGAGTTCCAAGGCAAAGAATGAGAGATCTTGCATTCACTGGCTCACTCACGGATTGACCACAACTTCTGAGGTTGGGTCAAGCTGAAGGTAGGGGCTTTGAAACCCCATGAGGGTCTCACACACCTGACCCACCTTCTGCCTTCCCAGGTGCTCTAGCAGGAGTCTGGATTGGAAATAGCAGGTGGGACTTGAACTCATGTGGGTATGGGGTGTCAGCATCTCAGGAGGCCACTGCATCACAACACTAGCTCCCCAGAAATAAATTTAGAAAAAGAAAGAAAATAGAACTTTTTTTGCTTTGGAAGTAGAATAGTCAGGAAGTCTTGAGTAACTTGATATCTCTGACCATCTATACTTTTTAAAGTTACTGTGAATAATTGCTTACAAAGTAACTTTTTAAAACAATTGTTTCTATTGGAGGGGCAGATCAGGTTTATGGAGAGGAGAGACAACATCTTCTGGTTCACTCCCCGTGTGCCTGCAATGGCCACAGCTGTGCTGATCTGAATTCAGGAGCCTCTTCCCTGTCTCAGAGTCTCTGCTGCTTTCCCAGATCATGAACAGGGAGCTGGAAGGGAAGTGAGAAGCTGCGACACAAGCTGTTTCTCATATGGGATCCTGGTGCTAGCAAGGTGAGAATTAGCCATTGCATCAGGCCCCTATAAAGCAATCTGTGTGATTCCATGCAGGTTTCAAATTCACCTTTTGAGTTTCTTTATCTTTCAAATATTTTCTTTTGAAGATTTACTTGTTTGTTTAAAGGCAGGATTACAGAGAAGGAGAAACAGATCTTCCATTTGCTGATTCATTCCCAAATGGCTGCCATGGCCAGCGCTGGTCTGAAGCCAGGATCCAGGAGGCTGGTGCTTTGTCTGGGTCCTGGGGTCCAGGTGCTTGGGTCATCTGCTGCTGTTTTTCTTGACACACTAGCAGGGAGCTGGATCTGGAGTGGAGCAGCTGGGAACGGAACCTTTGGGATACTGGTGTTGCAGGCAGGGACTTGGTGTGCCATGCCACAGTACCAGCCCTGATACCAACTTTTTACACCAGATATAAACATACCCAGTGGCCCTTTTGCTTGGTGCAAGATGATGTACATATCTTGTGTGCATGTCTGACGTATTCTTAGACAGTATTAATCCACTGCAATTCTGTTTCTGTGAGCAGAACTCACAAAGGCTTATTTCTTCAACCGACTTTCAAAAAAAAATTAGTCTTCTAGCTTCTGTAACTTCCTATATACGATGCATTCTTTTTTACCTTTTTTTTTTTGTGGCTGCTTTGCAAGATTGGAATTATTTGGAAAGCAGTGACACAACATTTATGAAAAAGAAAGGCTAAAAATATCCAATAATGTGGTTATTCTTTTTAGATTTCCTTTGGCAGGCAGTGCGGGCTGTCCTGTTCACATTCCTTTTTCTGAGCGGAATGAGCCTGACCGGATGCTCTGTGTTGTGGCCCGATTCCCCAGCACTGCCTTAGCCCCGAGCAGCAGCCTTCCCTGCCCCGCCTCCCCAGCCTGAGTGGCTGGGTTCTGGTAAAGGCCCTTGTTGGAGGCTTCTGACACACCACCAGGCTAACAGCCTGTTTGTGCTCTGCTTAGCGTAACAATGGAGCTGTAAACACACCTTATGGAAAATGCAATTCAAAGATAAGTTTGTTCTGGTTACAAAATGAAATTTAGGAATATATTTGTAAAACATTTACTCTTATTTGAAAGGGAGATTCACAGAGAGGAGAGACAGAAAGATCCTTGATCTGCTGGTTCACTCTCCAAATGGCTGCAGCGGCTGAAGCTGAGCTCATGGGAAGCTGGGAACCAGAAGCTTCTTCTGGGTCTGTCTCATGGGTGCAGGGCCCCAGGGACCTAGGCCATGCTCTCTTGCTTTCCCAGGCCATAAACGGGAGCAGCCAGGACGTGAACCAACCCCCATATGGGGTGCCAGTGTTTATAAATGAAAGATTAGCCTGTCCAGCCCCTGCTCC